ATGGAGCATTATAAAGTACGGGCTCTCGAGAAGGCAGTTGAGCAACAAAGAGGATTTGATTGTGAATTTCATATCCAAATGGAATTCAATGCTTGGAGATGAGATTTGCCAGAATCTAATCAAGTCAATGCCAAAAAGGATTGAAAAGGTTATTCAAAATAAAGGAGGATCCATAGATTATTAAATATTTTGAACTATATTACCTATTATAAATAAATTATACCTCTATTATTCTTTATTTAAAGCTGTTCGGTTATGTTTCTATTGATTACTAGTTGCAGGAAATAAGTGAGTCATTTTTTTGCACAGAGTTTTTCCCTAAATCTCATTTATATCCAAAATTATAATTATCAATAGAATACCTTAGGGTGAGTAAACTTTTTTACTAGGTGGTCAGGAAGGGTCCTTTATATTAGTAAGATTAAAAATTAGTTTGACCCCAAAAGAATAGGCGAAAAAAATTTTATGTAAAAAAAAATCAGGTGAGTCACTTTTATCGAACAGCACTGTATATAAATGGAATTAATGGATTTTTGTTTTATCCAAGATAATTCTTTATTACTGCAAGCATATTTTAGTGAATACAGGTTTTTGTTTAGACATACCTGTTAATTTGTTAATTTAAATTTATCGGATTGAGTAATCGAAAGTCTTAAAGTTAGTGAGCCTTTTGGTAGGACTCGAACATGCATTTTCCTTAATATTGAAATATGCCAGCTTAACATGTTGACATGCCAGAGGTCAATTAGGAGATCTGACTGTAAACATCAATATTATAATAGCCAACTGAAACAATGGAATTTATGAGTCGATTTCTATAGCTACAACTGAAATCATAACTTTATTTTCACATGAAAAGTATCACTATCGATTCATTGTTGGCACCTGCTGATAAAAAGGTATCAGAAAATACGAAGTACGAGATAACTCGTGGTTGGCAGTTTTTAATATAACGCCGAGTACGAGATTGGCAGGCAATGTGCTAAAGAATAGCTTTCCAATGTTAAGAGGAACACAGGTTCGAGCACTACCGAAAAAACATTTTCTTTGATAAAACTTTCTATTGACCAGGCCGGTAGACATCACTTGGTTTAAAAACAAAAAAAGAACAGGGATACCTATTCAAACACATGCATTCACTAAAATACAGGGGTTATAATAAATAAATTACATCTGACTTTAGACAGTCGAAAGCTTCGACCATAATTATTGTATTTTCGTCTCAAAAGAACATCGGACAATTTCTGGGAGAATTTCCTTCTAGTCTGAGAAGAATTATTCGTAATTTGGAAAATTTGATCATTAAAATTAATCAACACAAAATATCTGTTGTCTTAAAAATATTTACCTTAGAGTACATTTGCTCCCTAAATACAATATATATATATATATATATATATATATATATATATATATTGCTACGGGCGTGTTATTCATATATATCTATATTATTTATATGTGCGTGTTATTAGTATATATTTATACGTATGAAGATATGCGCATTTGGTTATAGACATAACTTGACTTAAGGGCGAATATCTATCTATCTATCTATCTATCTGTCTGTCTGTCTATTATCTATCTCTGCATATTCATTTGATCTTGACTTCAGTGTCCACTTATATATATATATATATATATATAGTATTTTAAGAATAGTGTTTTTGGTTATTGGAATTTTATTCCGTCTACACAATCCTATACTTGTATAAATATATATATATATATATATATATATATATATATATATATATATATATATATAGGCATTAATACCGAAATGCCTGTTTACGATATGTTAAACTGTATTTTCTCCATTTGTCTGGGTTCAGTGGTTAACATTTCCAAATCACGAATAGTCCTTCTCGGACAAGGAGAAAATTCCATCAGAAATTTTCCGAAGTTCATTTCGGAATGACGGACGTTCCCCCTTATGTGACATGGATTATTCGTAATTTGGAAAAGTCAATCAGTAAAATTAATCGACGCAGAATGTCTGCTGTGATTAATAATTTTTGCCTTAAAATGTGAAGCAGTGAGATAGATAGATAGATAGATAGATAGATAGATAGATAGATAGATAGATAGGTTGCACATTAATTACTTCCAGTACATAAGAATAACCAACGTTGAATATACATTACGGAAATTTCGAGCAAGTTCTGTAGATTACATATATCTAATAATATTTATATATGTTTCTTACACATGCATATGACTATGTTAAAGGCTCTACATACACATTCATATTCCTTTAGTTTTACCCATATTAAGACACACAGATACACAGTGTCTGTAGCACTTATGCAAATCAAAATACCATACACGTACGCACATAATTACGAACACACCCATAAACCGCCTTTCTCAAATACATAATTATGAAGACATTGACACATACACACTGACCAAACACATCTACAAACACTGATATCTACATGTGCGTTCTCTTTTATTATGTTTCAGCGCTTCCGCCAACAACGTTGTTCGCGCCAAAACATGAGTCGCTAGCGTAGCCATCATCCAAATTCTTCTTTTCATTCCAGTCCCTTCCCTAGCTCACATTCATTCTTAACATCCCAGCATCCCTTGCGCCCGCATGACGTCAGCTTCAAGTACTTGGCCTCCAATTTTCCCGCAAGCAATGGCGGCCGTACATTGTCACCAGTGTTGCCGCCATCTTAGTTACTGCTACATTCACCCATTCCCTCTTCGTCGTCCTTCTGTTAGCCGTTACTACCGCAACCATCTTTTCCGGAACAACTTTCCCCTCTCTTTTGTGTGCTTTATCCCCCCACTGTTGTTCCCTGTCCAGATATCTTGAGGCACACAACAAGCTTCCACGGTGCAATGGGTGCTGAGTGCAAAGATGATTGAAAAAATTCAGATAGAGGAATTTGAGAAAAAAAAAAAGATTAGAAAATGAAGAAGTCTGTTTTATATTGGCGGTCACAATAAAGTTAGGAAAAAAAACGAGAGAGGCGTTTGTATGTGTGGGTGTGCGTGCTTGTACGGGTAACGATATAAGTAACAAAAAAGATAATACAACAATAATAAAAAAATAACTAGGCTGTCAAAGCGAGAAGTTAATGACAGAAGAAAGGAAGAAAAGGTGAAGAAAATGAAACGTATTGAAAAAAGGTAAAGAAGAGAGAGTACAAGAAAGGACAAAGAAAGTAGAGTACAAGGAAGGACAAAGAAGGAAGGCTATAAGAAAAGATAGAGAGGGTACAAGAAAGGACAAAGAAGGGAGATTACAAGAAAGGTCAGAGAAGGGAGGGCACGAGAAAGGAAAAAGAAGGGAGGACACAAGAAAGGACAAAGAAGAAACGGTAAAAGAAACGATAAAGAAGAGAGGGTGTAAGAAAGGACAAAGAATGGAGGTACAAGAAAGGTCAGAGAAGGGAGGGTATAAGAAAGGATAAAGAGTGGGTACAAGAAAGAACAAATAAGGGAGGTACAAGAAAGGACAAAGAAGAGTGAGTACAAAAAAGATCAAAAAGGGGAGAGTACGAGAAAGGAAAAAAGAAGAGAGGACACAAGAAAGGACAAAGAAGAAAGAGTAAAAGAAATGATGAAGAAGTGAGAATACAAAAATGGATAAAGAAGAGAGGGCACATGAAACGACGAAGAAGATAAAGAGAGAGTAATAACGCGAAGAAGTGAACGAAAAAGAGAAACCACTCGAAGAGACAAGTGAAAAAAAAGAACGATGATGAATAAGAAGAATTATGTTTAATGGTAAAGTCAGAAACAATAAGAGATCCAAGAAATTGACTACAACCAACTAAAATCACAGTCAAAAGTTTCGCACTGATATTGAAACTTGCCGCTGGAAATTGGTAATCGCAGTCAAAGAATCTATCATGTCTTCCGTATGCAATGATCAAAAGTTAAGCAACTGAATTATCGCCCTTTGTCGATGAACAGTTGTTAGAACGTCCTGTGCAAGCAAATTTTCTTGAAAATAATAAAATAAAAGTAACCATTTTTTGGTGTAATCACAAATAACCCGGTCCAGGCCAGGATACAAGATCTAGCGAGTGGGAGAAAAAAAGAAAAACAATCAACGGACTTGTGGATTAAAGCCTTGCTTCCTGAATTTGGTAGTATAGTACTTATGGATCATGTTATGACTCTGACTCTGTGGGTTAGAAGGGTTAGCAATGACTGAACAGTATCGAAACTCAGTATAGACTTAGACTCGCTGAAAACAGGACGAGCAATAAGTGAGCAACACGAAAAAAATAGAACAGAATAAGACATACCTAGACACGGAGAATCGAATGAGAAGAATCGTAAAACCGTTAATTAAATAAAGTCTACAGCTTGAAATTCCTTGAACGTTACTTGGATCGATAGATCCCTGAAGTAGACCGGAGGGTAATACAGCTGAAACGCTGTGACAATAACAACAAAGATGAGGAATATAAATCCTCACCCCGGAACCTAAAATAAAATGTTGTAAACCATGAATTCAGTATATTCACTGGGATTATCGCTACTGGATTATTATCGCTACTGGATTATCATCGCTACTGGATTATCATCGCTACTTTCATGGCAAATGTCCAGACGAGTTCCATTTAGTGTCAATAACTTTTACAGCTAAGATCCACGTTGCTACGTGCTCAGGGTCGAATCATCTTTGTTTCCCTACGTATTCCGTTAGTGTGAAGGATGTTCCCCTCAGAGAGATTCTTCCCTAAAACAGCTATTTTAGGAAACAAACTCCCGAGTTGATGCTCCCCAAAACACAACCATATTAACCTCGTCAAGTCTAGGATCATCCGTTACCTATCTTCCATATCTTCATAATCTTCATTTTCAACTTCCTCATCTTAAATTCATATCACAAACCGCATTCAGTAATAAGATACCTTGAGGCTTACGGCCGCATCACGTTGAAACACCGGTTTCCGTACGACCACCGAAGTTAAGCAATATCGAGCTTGGTCAGTACCTAGATGGGTGAACCCTTGAGAATACCAGATATTGTA